AGAATGGCAGCCGTAATAACGTTTATTATTATTTACCCTTTCAGTGTCTGTGTGTGTGTGTGGGGATGGGGGTGGCTGCTGGGTTATCATACAATGTTAATTATAATGGAGCGTGAAGACACACTATATGCATATTATCACCAGAGAGTGTCTCATTTATTTGGGCTAAGGAAAGGGAGAGGATGGCGCTGTTACATTAGCATAGCCACACACAGATCCAGAGGAATGGGTGGTGAAGGTGCGCCCTCATCACTTTGTCCACATGATAAGGCTTTGTTTTTTTCAGCCTGATGCATCTGGTCATGGCTGGCTGAGCGGAGCACTCGAGGGGAAGATGTTTGTGAAAAAGCTTACAGTTTGGATCATTGCTGCGGTCTGACACACACACCTCACACTTTTGATGTGGTCTTTGGTGGTTTTCATATTTCATCTTGGCCTAAGAGTCACCTGTCAAACTCTGGACCGATAAAACTGACTTTTACCATAACATAACTTAGACTTAGACAAACTTTATGGAACCACAAGGGAAAATATATGGACAGCAGCTCGCACATTACAGTAAATATAATAACAAAGAGAAAAAATATAAATGGTAATAATAAATTCAAAATAAGTAGCCAAAATAGCAAGGAACTAATGTCAAATAAATATTGTATATGTACAATAAAACATAGAATATAGTAAATATATCGGCTTTATTCACAAGCAAAACACAAACTCTGGGTATGTTTTTGATAAGTTAACAGCATTATAACATGCCTTAAATCTGTCAAGAGTAAAATTGACATAATATAGGACCTTTAATTATCCAAAATAGCACCATAAAGTCATAGTCAGTCCGATACAGATTCTGTATCGGAGTACATTTTTGGACAGAGGAACAGTAAACTAATTAGACAAGTTCTGCACATTCCTGGCCAAGCTAGGTCGACTCATTTGCCAGATCCAGTCATAAGTACATATCTGCATATTTATATAATTGGTTGATACTCAAACGAAATATGTGAAAAAAGATAACAAAATGTATGGCATTAGGCCCGTCACGATAATTACTATAAAGACTTATCGTTCAATATGCCAGATGAACGTTATATTTCTAGCTCAGTATTCAACACATGTGTCTTTTTTCACACTATTGGGGTATATTTGCTTTTTTTGTAGTGTGAGGCCTGTATGATGAGATTTGTGTTGTAGATCGTCCAGTATTTCACTTACACGATACATTACAGATACTTGAACTAACCACTTTAGTGTTTCTTTGTACTATGTATGTATTGCTGTCCACATTCTGTTTCATATGAATAACTTAGTGCATCTTTAAATCAGAACAAATTCTTTCTATGTAACTTTCTGGTTGGGGGTCTGTCACCTGCTTTTTTTCTAAGAACATGTCATTGCTCTGTCCCTTACATTTATTCAATTACAGGTGGATACACTGCTTAAAAATCCTTAGAAAAACAGGCATTCTAACTGTGAGCGGGGTTGCGTTTCCTCAGATCTGACCTGTAACGTGGTTTGGTTTCCATGAAGATCAAAAGGTTTAATGCCATACAGTTAAACATTCCAGACAAAGCAATAACATCTCCATGGAGACAAGCATTTGATGGACTCCCAACCCTCCACCAGAAAAGTTACACAATGCACCTTTAAGGTTACTGTGAAAATGGTATACATTTATTTCAATATTATTGTCCTATGTGATATTTTCAGAATCAATATATGGGACTTCAAAATTTGTTATTGTGACAGGCCTATATGCCATAAAACAGGTGTATTCTGGGATACCGCTAGTTTTCTCCTTTCTCTAACCTTCTCCATCTGACAAAGACACTGAACTCTTGCCCCCTGCAGAAACAGTTGCCTTCCCTCCTACAGAAACCATATAGGCCCATGGTGATAATGGATTAGTCCTCAGTTCAGTAGAAAGAATATGGGACCAGCGTAGCCAATGACAGGGGATTACTCTGACGGCCATTTGCATATCAAGAATTTTAAGCAGCGAAGGGGAAAATATTGAACCCTGCAACCGGCAAGGTCATTCAAAAGATTTTTCCTCCTTTTTCATAATTTATTTTGCATATCAGCCATTTATGGACACACAGTAGATTAAAACAGGAGCTATCACCGTATTCCCTGATAGGAGCGGGCCCCACCTATATAGGCTTCTGCCACTGCACGCGCATGGCTGGCAATGGAAGACTGCTCTAATCCTGCACTGTTTATTATCTCTTTAATTTGAATGTTGTCTAGTGTTAATGGAAGCCTCAGAGCCACTGTTGGAAAAGCAGGAAGAGAAAGAGAGCCACCCTGACTATTATCTGTGACTAAGGACTTTACTGCAATTGACAAACAGCTCATTAGACTCACAGCCAGTGTCAAACATGTCCGACGCTAATGAATTGTATTATCTTTAACAGAAATGAATTTGAATGTTCTGTTGTTGTAGTCTGTCAGAACAATATAGCAACTGTCACAAAGACTTAGTTGAATAAATTATTGGAGAGATTTGTATCATAAGGTTACAACATTAATGGAAATGGAAATTAAAAGTGTCATATGATGGAGTGACTTCATTTCAAGCAATTTATGGGGGATTAAATGTAAAAAACAAACAACAACTGACGCATACACGTGGATTTAAAGGGCAAGTGAGGTCAGTAAGTCATTGATGAGATAGGAATTCTGACTGGCTGAAATCTAATGTTAAAATGAATGCTGTACAATGAAAGTTAGGACTGTCACGATAAATACTACTTATCGCTCAGTACATGACAGACAGAACAATACATTTGGGGGTCAGTATTTATCATGGTGAGTACTAGCCTAATTCATCAGCCGGTTTCACTTTGCAAAAAACGTCTGACCTCGCAGCATTAGAATTTGTTCACTCGACGATAAGCGGGTACTTTTTTTCATTTAATCAATCGGTGTTATTTGGTCATGGTGTATGTAATGCACCGCAAAAGGGGATAACTGGTATATTAAGCTTTTCCCAAATCCTGTAGAAAGAAGGGCAATAATGTCTTTCCTCTTGATAAAACTTGGGAATTGTTGCCAGCACAGAATATATGGCTCTTCGCTGATTGGCTGATGCTCGAACTCACACTTCCGGGGTTTTTGCAAACCGTCTAGAGTATTCTGATCCCTGACCTAGTCGCGGGAGAGAAATTAAATTGAGCGGATGAGTTTTGAGCTGTAGAGGGTTGAATTATGAACTTTTGTGACTCATATAGGTAAATGTATCTATAAAAACTGCAGTTCTTGGTTTTTAAAAATATTGTACATTTAGATAGGATTATTCTGCTTAATGGGTTGGTTTCAGTTTTATTGTTTATCATCTATATTTTGCTTCAGCAACATATCACACTACAAAATTTGCTATTGTTACAGGCCCATCTATTCAAATATCACAGTTTGTAATCAGATACTGGACAGTACCCCTCTTGAATGGAATCCCAAAACATAGTACTGTAGCTGGCCAAAAACCTGAGAACTATTTTGAATTCCTCCCTGGAGATAAACAGAAAGTGGTAAGTGAGATTATCATGATTATGTTCCATGTTATAAAAAGACAAGAACTTTGTGTCCCATGAATAAGCCAATGGGGATGATTAAAGTCATGTACTACATTTTTTTCATGTAATAAAAGTGAAACCTGTTTTGCCCCCAGAACTGATATGTTGTGAACCAAGAAGTAGCACTTTTTTCAGGCTAGTTGTTCACAGCAAAACTCTATTCTAGCCTCTAGAAGTTATGAAACATGCTTATAAACTAATTGTGGAGAATAATTAGGATGCAAGGAATACATTTGGCAAGTGAGGAATAACTCTGGACCACTGCAAACTGTTTTAAATGCAAAGTTCTGTTATGTTTTTAAGACGGTAAAACTCAGCACCTTTAAGACAAACTAATCAAAGTATTGGAATTTCACAATAATAAATAAGTCATGAATGCTTGTTTGGCTTTTGTCCTTGTAGATGTCAATATGACAGTGGATGGAAATGTATTCAACTCTTAACAAACGCGCACGCAGCTAAAAGCAGATAAGTGAATTGCTATAATTTTATAATTTATTTCTGGCCTTATCAAGCTTTGTTTTGTTATTTATTTCCTTCTGTCTTCAATGAGTTAAACAATCCCTGGAGATTAGGAATGCGCTGTTTGTTTTTCAGGCGACACACGTTTCATGTCCATCTCCCTCTCTCTCCTTGTGTGTGTGTGCGTATGAGTGTGTATGTGAGAGAATGCCTGTTTGTGTGTGTTTGTGTGTGTTAATTCCAGGGGATGTGTTCATTATCGTCCCGTCCAGGCCTGTCCCTTTAATAGTAATTGGAGCTATATTAATTGCTGTTGTGGTGGCTGGTTGATGGTAGCACCGCGATGCCGAGCTGATACGGACCTTGCTTTTTATTGTTTTTTTTTTCTTCGTCTTTTCCCTTCCTCCGGTCTTCACAAACTAACAGGCGATTGAGCGTCGGTGCGGGGGAGGGGAGAGGGGGAGTAAGGGAGAGAGATAGCCCCTCTATCAGCTCCGGAGCAGGCGCTGTCTTTATCAGGAGCACGATTGGCAAAAAGGAAACTTTGACCGGTCTGAATTTTTCTCTTATCGTGGCGAGCCCCCACCTCCTCCTCTCCTCCTCCTCCACTTCCCAAGCTCCATCCATCCACCTTCTCCTCCTCTGCTCTCTCCATCACACCCCTCCTACAGCACTATGCATCCATTTCTACCATTGTTTCTGCTTGGATGTAGTTGTCTTGAAATTGAAAAGAATCGAACTGTTCTGAAAACCAGAGATCCATATTGAATGATATCTCTTTAATGAAATACTTTATGGAAAAATACACATATGTTAATAAAAACTGATAGACAGCTTGAACTCTTACTGTTGAAAGTAATGCTCCGCCATGTGTACTGTTATGCCGTATTTGCCTGATCTGATTAAGTTTTTGTGTAAGGGTACAGAGAAGACCAACTGTAATTTAAAAGTCAGAATACTGACCTGGTCCGCTCCACTGCTGTCCGTCTGTCTCCTCCTCTCCTTCATCCTCCTCTTCATCGTCACTCGAGATAGGAGCTTGTTCGTCAGCCTGGTCTTCCTCATCAGGACCGCCCCGCGAGTCCTGGCTGTGGGGCTCTGTAAACAAAACACAACATTTTAAGGTTGGGGACAAAACATAAAATACTTTATAGCATAGTAATTAGGGATTTGATTATAAAAACATGAATTGCAACGTTTCAGCTCATGATGCTGATCTGATATTGGTGTGGTATTTTATATTTTTCTGATATTTGTTTGTGGTGTCTGTTTTCCACATTCACTTTTATTGGACAATGTTCTTCCTGGTCCAATTGTGTAACAGGTGGATTTAACTCTCAGAAGCAGATGGCGTTTCCATTATTAGGTTATTTTTTCAGACCAAGAGTTTGTTTCCATACCTGACAGTTTTGATTGCTCACTAGCATCTTCCTCAGAGTGGTCACGTGATGTTGCTGTGACGTGTCCGGTCAGCTGATTTATACAGGTTTTGGCGCTGTCTTCCTACCGCACAACACACAGCAACATCACGTGACCACTTTGAGGAGGACAGCAGTCAAAACTGCCAGGTATAAAAACAAACTCTGAACAAACAAACAAAACTGAAAAAAGAACCTAAGAACAGAAACGCCATCTGCTTCTGAGAGTTAAATCCACCTGTTACACAATTAGACCAGGAAGAACATTGTCCAATAAAAGTGAATGCGGAAAACACCACATAACACAACATAAATTATCGAAAGACCAAATGAACCTCATAGGACTAGATAGCGTTTACCTTAGAAATCTATTAGGTGATTGTGGTAAAATAATTTGTTAGTTATCTAAAAGAAATCATGGGAAATTAGGGTTGCATTCATTTAGTTGCAGAAAGGAGTGAGTTATCTGGAGGTTTGGGTGTGACTGGACATTCTTTCTTTATAAATGGACATGGCTAACCTGCTAGTTGCCGTTTTCCAAATAAGAAGTGAGCAAGGGGGCGCTTCTGGCTCCATTGACTCCAATTGACTTTACATTGAAAAATTTTCACCCCTCTCTCTGCTGCAGTGAGCCTTGTAATTTTGGTCTTAAAATGTTCGTATTAACCCACTCTACATAATCCTGGTGTTTTTATTTCACTATTTTGTCAATTCCTATTCCTAATATGTCTCCAAATTCACCCCATAACTGCTAGCCTCTGTGAGCTTCATTTTGACTCGGGCCGAACACTATTACTGTTGTTATTTCCTTAGTCCACTTGTTTATACAGTCGTTAGTCTTTAGTCAACCAAGAATTTCTTTTGTCAACTACAGGCCTAATAACATTATGTTTTCACACCACGCAAGTCCTCCTATCATGATAAAATTTCATCAAGAGAAAAAAAGCATATCAGAATGTATATGACCTGTACTTGGCCTATGCCGCTGTTCCTGTCTGCTGATCAAAGCTCCTCTGCGGTTACTCTACTCTTGCCCTCGCTCACATAAACTCTTTGATTTGGTTCAGTTATCACAGACTTCAATGTGCTTGTCCAACTGCATCAGTGCGGCCCTCTACACATCTGGACACGCTCCCCAGAAAACTCCTATAAGGTTATCATTATAATAAAGTCCCTTAGACTTAGACAAACTTTACTGATCCACAAGGGAAATTACTTCGACACAGCAGCTCACACATGAATATATTATAATAACAAAGAATAAAAAATATAAATGGTAATGATAAATTCTAAATAAGTAGCAAAAAAGACAGCAAGAGACAGGTGGCAAATAAGGCATAATTATTTAACCCGACTCAATCTCAATCTCACAATCACCAAACAGCAATGCATCTTGGTGTATCATGGGTTGTGGCAAGACAAGTATTCTCACACTTACAGACACTGAGCTATTAATGTGTTTACATTGGTACTTTCATTGGAACTAACCACTGCTAGAACAATTGCTATTAAGCACGAAGAAAGGCCTGTCACAAAAACACATTCTGAAGTGTTAGACAAAGCTAGATAAATTTAAAATTATGTGAGTGAGTGAGTGCACTTGCTTTTATGTACAGTTAAGATAGATAAGTATGAAAGAAAGAGCTGAACTTTGGCTGCAATCGGACAGTTCATCACAGTGTCCCATTAGCGGGATCGTGATTAGTGAGATTAGATTAATAGTTACATCACAGCCCCTTGGCCTATCAGAGTACAGAATCTACCTGTACCTCTTGCTTTTCCTTTGTCTTCATCATGATCAGGTCCTGCCCCAGTGTGACTCAGGATTGCTCTTAAAGGAAATTCACAATTTACCATATGAACTCATTGCTTAGTCATGAAGTGTATTTTTATTATGTCATTAAAAGCAATAAATATCTTGTGCAAATTGTATCAGTAGCAAAACTAAATATACATCAGAGGTTTCAAGATGACTTTTCATCTGACGCCTATAAACAGTAATCACATATGAATAAATATTGAATACATTTTTGCACAGTTTGGATTAGCATAAATTATACGTAAAAGAGGACTGGCACAAACTATCATAAATCTGACTTAAATAATCTTGCATTATTTAAAGGCCCTATATTACACAAAATTTATTCTTGTGAGCTTTAAGCAATGTTATAGTGCTGTGTTACCTGGAGTTGTGTTTTGTTTCATTCACATACATTTGAGTAATCCTTTCTTGTTAGTCTATCTACATCTCCAAAACTCAAAAAGCTCTGTTCAACCTTGTGATGAAGTTTTTAACAGCTACCTTCTACCTTTTGCTTAGTAGAAATAGGCAATTCCAGGTCTGAAATAATCCAAACGATTCTACAGTAGTGAAGGTGTATGAAGTTTAACAAGACAGTGGAGCACTCCCTGTACCACCACATGACATCATAAGGTCAAAGTGTTTTCTGTTTGAGAGAATAATTCAAGCCTTTATGTGTTAAACATGTCTGAATGAAACAAAACCCAACTCCAGGCATGTCTTTGATAAGGAAATAACTTTATATCATCGATCAGAAAATAGAGTAATGTAGGAACTGGTTTATGACATTACACATTTCAAATATACAATCAAATCTACAAGACGTTATGCTAATATAATGCCTCTATATTCATAACACATTCTACATGTATTCCACACATGCCTGACAAATTGAGATTATTTGAGATTATTGGTTCAGACTAAAAATGTCACAATCTGAAAATGCCCCAAATACTCCAGATACTCTCCACTTCCTGGTGAGCTCTCCCCTTCCCCAAACCTGCTCCTCTCTCCACCTCGATAAGGCCTCGGCAGTGTGCACAAAGGGCCTGTTTACCCTCACATTCCCGCTCCGATAACGCACCGATAGCGCCCAATCGATACCAGCCATAAATGCCCCGTGACCATGTGACGCCTCCACTTTCTGCAATTTTTAATGTAGCAGCTCTGGCCCGAGATTGGGATCTGCCTCTGCATCTTGGAATAAATCAACGCAGGCGTACCCAAGCAGCATCCATCTTCACGTCACGTCCACCTTTCATACAGCTACATACTAACACATGTGGCCCCTCCCCCCGCCTAAACACCGCCATTATTTTCAGCTATAAATCACATTGAATGGCACATAGATTTTATCCGGCAGCGGCTGGAGCGCGGGAGGGGAGCTGGAGACACAGTTATTGCGTTTAATATTATCAATATTATCAGCCATATCATCTGAGACAGGGAGGCAGGTATCAGGAGGAGTCGACAGACACTTTTCTACCAGGACACCCCCCTCCTCCTTGTCCTCCTCTTCCTCCTCTCTCACCCCCTCCCTCGCTCACCCCTCCCTCTCCGACAGCGAGACAGTCTCCATCAATCTGATAAGATGAACTTCCCCTGTCACACCTGCCGGGCAAAGTCACCCAACAACCTCACAACTTCTACAGCCCTCACCTCCATCTCCAGCAGAACTCTTCTCATCGCTTTAGATCTCGCCTCTGAGTGCTGCTCTGTGCTGTGGTCAGTTCAGGAGTAGTCTGTATAGGCAGACTATAGGCTCTATCCTGTAAGCTATAACATACGTATTATTTTAAAAACAAAGTGTATAATTGTTTTAATTAGATATGTATAGATGGCTGCAGAATCTATGAAAAAGAAAAGTGAAGCCATTTCTCCAGTATTAAAGACCAATATTGAACACTGCATTTGGCATGTGCTTTTTAATCTTTACAGCCACCCATACTGGTATTTAGAGTTCAGTGAAGACAGAACACCACGTTATGGGAATCTGTTTGTGTAGTTTTTGTGGTAATATTTTACAGATCATTGTACAGAATCATCACCCAAAGAAAGAAACAAGTGTTTGCTCAGTATCTATGTGTCTGGTCTTTAGAGGAGCACAATGAGAGACCAGTGCAGGTTACACTGACTAATCAGCACAAATGGATCATATCAGGCTTCCTGTGATCTACCAGACAGATAGTGTGAAAAGGGAACTTTGTTTCTGTTGCATTTCTGAGAAGTCACAGTCATTTTTCACACTATGATGTGCACACAACTGGCAATAGCAAAGCTTTGGCAGTAACAACAGGACTCAAAACAACAGTTTGAAAATATTTGTCTTAAATCATGGTAAAAAATGATCCAAAAATACTAAATCCAATACAAAGAAACCAAGAATCTACTTATGATCCTACTGGCATTGTCTCACAGTGATAAAGATTTGGCTCAGACCTACAATTTGACCTCTGTTTGGAATTAAATGCAGTACATAACCCTAAAACCTCACTCCATCTGTTTTGCTCTGTAAATTTCCAACAGTCTATAAATATATATGCTATATACAATGCCTCCTCCACCAATGAAGAAAATAAAGTGATTAAGACCCCAAAATGTCTGCTGTTGTTAGTGGTACAGAATGTGTTTTTCTCTCTGGTCTTATCGCCCTGGTTATCTCTGTGCATGTGTGTGTCTGTGTGTATGTGTGTGTCTCAGGTCCAGATGGCGGATAAGGGGCCTTGGCTTTATTAGCCAGTGCTGGCCTGATAAAGACCTGGTATTGATCCCAGGTTGAAAGAGCAGCTTCGTCAAACATGGCTGATTTACAGACAACTGATAATGGCAGCGCCGGGCAACGAGACACCGCTGAGAGGAGAGTGGCTGAATTAACCCCCGCGCACTGGCCAAGCTCACCTTTGGCACAGTTTGAAACCATGAAAACGGGCATGCTGCAAACTCATACTAACAGTGGCTTGTGATTCATATGCTGCACATTTACATACAAGGTTTACATACTGTAAGGACTTCACAGAGGCCCAAAAGCAACCATTTTCACAATATCTAGGTTATCATGCACAAAATTAAAAACTGGAAGCCTTCAGATGGTCTGGGCATCTTTCAAGTGAACTGTCAAACTTTGCCAAATAAAAATGGTCAGTCATTTTTAAACAGATAATGTTTATTAGATAATGTTGAATAAATTAGAAAGAAATGTTTTGCAATCCATCAAATGGCTGTACATGGATTATTTAAGCTTCATGTATAGCACAAATGTGAAAGGAAAACATAACAGTGCTGAAATATCACTTTGTGTGTGTGTGTGTATATATATATATTACTGCAAATGTATTTTATTATTATTTTTCAATTTTAATCATTTTATGCAATGTTTTGATAGTTAAAGACCACATAGTTAAGAACATGGGTTTGTATGTCTGTCATCCAAACAACAAGTTTGATGTTATCTTGAAGACAATATATCACTCATCTCTATAATAATAAAAATATAATTCAAATTCATTTGTTACTTGGTAACTATCTTTTCAGAGATTATAAAAAGTTTTTCATGAACTACAGCAGTCAAAATTATCTTTTTATGACACCAACCAAAACAAAAAATAGACAGCGACTGCTGCTCGAAAATGAAGCAATTATTACAATTGATAAGCATTGGACTTGTCAATAATTGTTGGAGTTTTCCACTCTCTTAAGATCCTGCTCTGGTTTGATCCGGATCCTGGTTTAGTTCTGATCATGTTTAGTCATAATTGCTCACAAATTTGTTGTGGTACACCTAAAACTTCATAAAGGAGCTGAGTCAAAATTGGTTCTATTTTACTGTCCTACATGTAAATATAGATTTAAACTCCCAGTGTATGTATTTTGTATCTTCCAATGCACAGTTATTTCTTATGGAGTTTACATCATCAAATGGTGCCTGTTTGTCTGCCCTGAGTTCTTCTTTGGGCACAATCCTCTCTCACCCCCACCACACCTGCCCTCCCCTCACACACACACACAAACACACACACACACACACATGCGCACACACACACACACACACACACATACACATCGACCCAACTGTAATCTCTAATCTCGTCTCGATTAGCACCTGACAGAATTTCCATGGCTTTATCAAACCGAGCCAACCAGCCAGACGCTTATCAAACCGGGGCCCCAAAATTTCACAAGAGCAAGAATTTTAGAGATTAAAAAACACAGCTGGTGAAATCTTGAATAAGTCAAAAGAATATGAGAAGAAAAACTCCATCGCCATCACACAGTACAAGCGGAGACTTTTGGATAAGAGGTGCATGAACTGAAGGGCAGGCCAAGATTCAACCTACACTGTTTCTTTTTATTGGTTTTGACACAAAGTAGATAAGCAAGTGTGTGTCTGTATGTGTGTGTGTGCGTGTATGTGTGGTTGTGCATGTGAATGGGATAAAACCAGGTTAACAGCAGTTGATCAAAGTATTTTTTGTACCACAGTTAACGGTCGCTGTAACAGTTGCTAATAGAGATACTAGAGATAAAGGGAGAGCACTCTTCACTCAAAAGTACCCATTCTTTCAAGAGATTATTCTTTCGAGACAATATCTGCGGCAATCTGCTTTGTGCTTGGAAAAAATATTAAAAAGTAACTGAAAAAGCAAAAAGAATGGATAAAGCAAATGTAGTCATGTTCCAAGCAGGGACATATATTGTAGATAAAAAACTACATTATTTGAATTTTTAGATGCAACAATATTTAAAGGTACAGTACGTAACTTTCTGGAGGTGGTGTATCACCAGCATCATTCCATAGAAATAGAAAGTTAAAACCATACTTTGGAACATTCTCTATGGAGACAAATGAGTTTTATCGCATACTGTGGAGAGTGATAACCAAAGGAACAAAATTTCTATGGAAACAAGCCGGAGGAGACTCTCCAGGCCAAATAAGAGTCAGGTGTGGAGATGCAAACCCGCTCGGAGTATGAAAGTAGATTTTTTCTAAAGTTTTCAGTGCAATGAACACAACCAAAATATTTTCTTAAAATCTGCTTTGATTTTAGTATTATTTATTTTATTTTTGGCTAAAAAGTTACACTGTAGCTTTAAAGATGCACTGTTTAAAACCTTTATGAGGGAGGGTTTGCCACCTGCTTGTCCTCATGTTATCACTTCATCTGAAATGTCTAACAGTCATTTAACTTATTTTCCACAAGGCCAAGTTATAGCTCTGATCTGTGCAAATTAAAGAAATGGATGACAAATACATTTAATGCCACACGGTGGAACATAAATGATGCAATGACATCCCCATGTAGAAAAAGCAGGTAGGCGGCCCTCCACTAGAAAGGTTGACCTTTAAAAAAATATTAATATTTTTGCAAGTTTGACAAAAATGCCTGATGTTCTTGACTTGACTTTGTGGTTTGGTGTAGGAGCGAGGAAGCAGGTGCAATGGCTTTTCCTTTCAGAGTACACCTTGGTCAGATCATTTGTATCAGGTTCCCACTAAAACACAAGGACTCAGTGGCAGTTCTCTTAAAACGTGTGAACATGAGCTGTCTAAGCTACTGACAAAACCATTTTTCTGTTCAGGGACATTTGAGCTGGTAATTTTATGAACCATTATGCTATAAGAATCTATCTGCCTTTTATAGCACAAAGTCATTCACAAGTTTGTTTAGCCATTAAGAAATTCCTCACCTAATCTTTGAAATGTGTTTTTATTTTTGTAAACTGCTGCATAGATAGATAGATAGATAGATAGATAGATCTTTATTACAGACTCGTGTTTTAAAGTATATATATTTTTTGTTGTGTTCTTATTGTATTGAGTTTACAGTATAGTGTATATTGGCCAATACAAAAAATACATGCAAGTGAACTTGATTTTAGTGATAAGAGTAGTTTGGTTGTTCTATATTGAAAATAATTATATGATACAGATTAATATTAACATTTGAATATTAAAATTGTACACAAAACAGAATTAATGCCAAATCACAACAATGCAAGTTATAGATGCCAGCTGTAATAAAATCGAAAATCAAGAATACAAAGATATATGTTTTACAACTTTTTCAAATGGTCCCTCTTTACTGTTGTCATAGTTTTACCTTCACTGAAGCCGGGTGTGAAGGGCTGTGGACTGGCGCTGTCTCTGTCCTCTGTGGAGTCCTCTGGATCTGAAGCCCCTCCCTCTTCTCCGGAGAGACTCATGTTGTCTGCAGTATTCTCCTCCCCGCTGTCCAGATCGCCCATGGACCCTAAAAACACAAAGCAATCAAAGTTTGATACAATCATTTTATGTCAAGCAAGTACAGAGACAATAATAGAAGATGATGATGAAAGATGATTTTCGGTAACACTTAAAATAAAAATAAACAGTTAAGTGACATGAATAAATGGTCAAAAAATTCATTAAGAAGAAATTGGTTCATTAAAAATTATTCAAGGTTCAAGTTCAATTATTAAAGTAATTACTTAATCAGTGCCTTAACCATAACCCAGCTAGGCATGGGACGATATTGAAATCTGGTGTCACGATTATGGACAATATAACTTAACAAATATGTCACAATAATTATTAAAGTTGCTGACAGTTTAAAATAGTATGTAAATGAAGTATAATTTTAATGTATGTGCATACTTTTCATATTTAAACAAATGTTTTGTACTTTGTTATTATCTACATCTTTTCCATGATGATCTTGATGAGCTGTTTTTTCCTGCAGGTATCACAATTATATAAAATGTCCCACAAATGTTTATTATCTAACTGTATTATTGTTTATTGTTCCATCCCTTCTCCCTGTCTCATAACTTAATTAAGTAGTTATAAGCTTGAATCATTCTTAATAAACAATTTGTTAATTATAATTGAAGTCTTTGCTCATGCTTTATTAAGGCTAATTAAGTCCAGTTATTATAAAGTGGTACCTGATTTTCAAATGCTGCATAACCTGGACTATGTATTAATCACTGGGACTACTCTTTTATAGATCATGCTTTTAAGTTTTTTGTTCTTTTTCACTCAGTGTGTGATAGGCAGAGCTGTGGATCTGAGGACATAATAACTGTGAGCAAATTACACTCACAAATAGCAGTTTAATTATGTTCCTGGAGCCTTAAGTCCAAACAAAAAAAAATAATAATAGAAAGCTACTTATGCTAATACTTTTGAAATCGCCTGAACGCCGCGCGCCTGTTTTATAAGTGTCCTCTTGAGAATAAAAACACATATGAGACGGATTGGACACAGTGAACGCTCTAATCCAGCAGATTAATAGCAGAGTGCCAGGACACCTCCTAGCCTGATCCCTATCACTTACACTGCTATAGTCCCCGCTGACCACAGTAATTAAGACACTACTTCTCATCTATTTTAGCCCCTTTGAAGATTACATCCAAAATATGGAGACGGCTAATATGGAATTAATGGGACTTTCTTAAATTGCTTTATTAATAATAGGTTTTCGATTGGGTGATTATGCCAGACAGAGCTAAACGCTGAATTAACTTGTGATATAGAAAATGATTTAGTGGTGTGAATGATGTCTCACAGGTATACACATATATTCTTTCTTATCTTTTCGAACGTTTCTTTGACAATTTTGTATACAGCTATGTTCATAAAGTCAGTACATTTCATTGGATTTGTCTGTTGTTAATTATATGGTACTACTAATACATTTTAAAAAGCATTTTTGAATTAGTTTGAGAGTAAATTTTTTAAATCCAGAAGGCCAAAGAATGAAAAATATTTACAGAAAAGTATTCGAAATGAAATTTTAAAAAAAGTTGTGACTGACAGAGTGCCTTTATGCAACTTGCAAGGCCCAGAAATTAAAGTCAAGTTATTTTAAAATTCATTAATAAGTTTCACAGATATAACTTGTACTTTTTTATGATGATTGGGTAAATGACAGATGACTCCTTAGCTTCATATATTTTATTTTATATTTTTTATATACGCCTTAGAAAATATTCACCCAATATTTGTTGCATGAACTTGACATCACTAACATCAATATCCACAACATCTTAAATGTTAGCTCTATCAACTCATGTAACATTTTAGCACACTGTCTTTAATAGCATCACAGTTTGAGGAGCAAAGAGGCAGAGGCAAAGCAGCACAAGTTTATCTATTTAGCACAATTCGTACACAAAGTAATTGAAAGTGCTTTACGAAATAAGAAAGACATTAAAACCACAATACAAATCAAAACAAATCGAAACATGTCAATCACTATTTCATCTTTGCACTGTTTTCTCCTTACGAGCTCTTGTTTAAAGCTGAGAGATTTATTACATTTATTATACAATATTTCACACCAGTCTCTTGTTATTTTTGCTACTTATTTTGCATTTATTATTACCATTTAAACTGCTGCTCTTTGCTATTATAATATATTGTGATATGTGAGCTACTGTGTCCAAATAATTTCCTTTCTGGATCAATAAAATTTAAGTCTAATTGTATAAATAATCATGATAAAATTCAAATTAAAAGAAGAGTACAGAATAAAAACACATAACCTGCAGTGAATGAGTTAAACCACACAAACAAAAGGATATTTTTAGAAGTATTACACACAGTATTATGGACCCATGTACTTGCCCGAGCTGAGACAGGTTGTAAATTAATTTCTGATCCTGTGTTGTAACCAGTGTGGGGATTGTTCCTGGTCTAAAGCCGTGACTGGGGGCGTATATATTTACACCATTGGAACAAAAGGCCTCTATAATCTATACAAAGCACACAACAATAGGCGTGAATAAAGACGGGTGCGGAGAAAGAGAGAGGCAATTTTTCTAATTCTGTTAATTTCACTTCCAAAGCAATTAAAAAGCAGGCGAGGAGATAATGCTTGGAAACAATCGCCGCTGACAACGTGTTTCTGTCTTTGTAAAGGAAACATCTTTAGGCTAATTTCAACTTCCACGCCTGCATGCTCCGCTCTCTCATTTCAGATAAAAATTAACACTGCGAGATTTGGACCCGGAAAAAAAGAAAAAAAGATCGATCCGGTACACAATATTTTTAGAACGAGGTCCATCTAATTTTCAGTATCTATAAGGGCATTTTCAGACAATTAATTTTGCTTTAATCAAAATTGTACAAAGCCAGTTCAGAGTCGGAAATTCCAATTAAATTCTCCGGTTCGTTAAAATGGAAGTTATGAGTTTTTTCTTCATTACTGGCCGTGGTTTTAATGAATCAATCGCTGCATCACTGCTTTCAGACATCAAATGGAGTGGAAAAGTTTTATCCAAGGAGAAGTAGTACAGGCTGGGTATATGGATAGCAGGCCTGTAGTGATAAGTGAGAGGCGTTAGACTTCATTTAGCCTGTTTTAATTGTAACAGACCGATATCCACAGTAAAATGAACTCAACTGTGGTGCAATCATAGAAAGACATGTGTATCTGTGAACCAGGGACATTTGTTAAAAGGGGAACAGTCCAAGAACAAAGCCCAAAGCTGCACTTGGTCTAATCTAAACGAAAGGCCAATGTATAGTGTTATAGTGAGACTTCCACGGTGAAAGGAAAGGAACTATACTTTTCCAGTTTTAAAATCAAGTTATTATGCTTTTTGGTTGTGCTAGATATGTACTGAAGTTCAACTAGTAAGCAAAAATGTATAGCCAAATAGATCAGCATTGATGGAATTCAGAAAAAATAAAGCCCCTCCAAAAACTGTATCTAAGAATGAAGATTATGCAACGTAATGTATTTTTGCAACTTTTCTGGTTGCATTGCCTGGGAAGCTCCACAGTATGGTATTAAATGTATCCATCTCCATGGGGACAAGTAGGTGACGTCACTGGACAAAGTTAAAAGACAAATATGTAGAAATGTGACTCTGCTCACTGTAAGAATGCATGTTTACTATATATTCTGAATACACTTGACTAGACTGGAAAAGTTATATTGTGCATTTATAACACAATAAACATGAACATTTTAAACTAATTTTACTGAACTAAGACCTGGAGTATTATTGTCAGATTCACATACATTCTACAGTTTAGTGATTCCACAGTTTGTCACCTAATTATATAAAGTTATTGTTTATATTGTCTTTTCTCATTGTCGTGGTGATATATTCTCCTTTTTTCCCAGCACAGATCTGTAGGACTGTATGTGTGAGAGAGAGAGCCTGCAGAACAAAGTGTGGAGCAGTGATGAAGGCAGCACAGATACGGCTTCATTAACAGAGAGTCCACATCACACCACATCCACGCTCCTCACATGAAAAAACACACATCAAACTGAAAAACACTAGAGCCATGAAACGCACTATAACACACATCAAACTGAAAAACACTAGAGCCATGAAACGCACTATAACACACATCAAACTCAGACGTACAAGAGCCATTATTAAACTCACAACGAGCTAACGGGTTCTCCAGCTACCTGACAGCGGCCCTCACCATCACACACGCTCTCCACCCATCAGCAACTTACTCGCGTTTACTATAAAGGACAAGCTATAAAAATATCAGATACTCAATACTTCAAACTAAACTTCTGCAGGTGTTGATACTGAAAATGATCACAAATAACAAAATGTTCGGCTCTGAATAGATTTAGATTATAATTTATTTATATTATAATCTTACATATACCAAATAATCACTTTTGCAATTAATGGAAAACCAATAGACATTTTATCACTTGCTGCTGAAACTGACAAAACCTTGGTTGATTTAAATAAAAATAAAATAACCAAAATGTGAAAAGATATATATATATATATATATATATATATATATATATATATATATATATATATATATATATATATATATATATATATATATATATATATATATATATATATATATAATAATAAATAAATCACCTCCTAATATGTTGTGTCGTTACTTATTTACTATTATTGTTGTTACTTACATAACAAAACACCACACCAGATGTACTACAGTCAAGTACTTTTATACCTCTTTAGGCTCAAGTGTAAACATTAAGGTCACCAGATCTTAAAATAACATAGAATTCTGAATTAGTTCCCTGACTTCTTTGCTGCGTACACTGCTGAAATATAGTGCCCACATCAGTCAGTTGATTAATCTAATATCAGCCTGAGCGTGTGATGTGAGCACGGCCCATTGATTACTGCGGGCGACAAACTCAAGTCCACCATAGATTTATTCCACTGATCTGAAATCCCAGGAATGTATTGACTTCCTGCTCATCTCCACATCACATCTGAAAAGTACCAAGAATATCAGCTG